CAGTTTATATCGAGCCCATCGCAAGACTCGGAAAACTCGAGCTGCTGCGGACTTTAATTTTTGCGCAACTATTAGTAGTAGTTATATATCTCATTACATAATCAACCACACAAACCACCGAACCTACTCTTTCTCTTTCCCCCAGTTACTCTCCCGTATACTTCCCCGAACGTCTTTCTTCTTCTTCTGAACAACCGTTTTCCCCACAATCATTTCGAGTTAGATGACATCGAGAAGGCGATCCAGGATTTCTGTGATAAACTTCCAAACCTAGAAGCCAGACATCCTACCAAAATTAAACCATGATCTGGAAAATCTCCTATTATTCCCTCACTCAATAATCCCTTAATTCCCTTCACACTCTTACTCACATATTTTATTTTTTTTTTATTTCTAATTAAATATACTTTTATTGTAATAACCAGACAGAGACTTAATGTTAACGATAAAATCTTTCCCTTATCACTCTGACTGATGTCCTCTATACTAATGTAATACCTGCGAAGAAATAACACACGCACACATACACACACTCACTCACACATATTCACACATACCAACTCAACTCTCAATGTTATTTTTTTGCTATAATAAACCCATATATATTAACTTCATTTATTTTAAATATAAATAAAATCGTATTTTATTTTATTAATAAAAATCATTTAATTCATTATTAACCCCCACTCATTTTCAGTCCGAAGATCGCACTTGGTCCCATCCCGCGTAAAAGAGATTAAATTCTCTTTTTATTCCCCAACCGAAAAGGAACCACCGTACGAACGTCTGAACAACCAGAATAATAGCGATCCTAATTGTCATTTATCTGATTTTCGGACCTGCAAGTTCGTTCGACCCGATTCCGAACGCCACGAGGCGTTTAACTTCGAGATAATAAAAGATAGTTGTTGCGCCCTTCCATTAACTTATCCGTCCTCGAGTCTGGACGTAACATTCGCGAATACAGATTTTTGTATATTCGGAACATCCCTAATAGGGACATTAAAATAGCCCACCCTGCATAATAAAAAAATTTTTTTAAGTCAAAATTTTTTGTATTTTATTTCAAGAATATCTCTTTATATTTCAAAAAAGTTTATTCGGATATAATCAATAGTTTTCTTTAAAAAAAATTATAAAGATCACTTGTTTTTAGAGCTGTTACACTAGAATCTCCTCTTAAAATAATATGCAGGGTGTCCGACAAGTAAGTGACCAAACGAAAGGTGGAGATAGATTGGGTCAAACTGAAAAGAAAAGTCCTGTACCATTTTTTTCTATAACGCTTGATAAAAGAGTTATTATTGAGTAAAGTCTGGCCCATCACCGTCGACTTTTAACCGGACGCACGTCAGTGAACCGCCCGCCTGATAGTGTGCGTCGCCGTAGCGACGGGGCGCTCACGCACACTACCAGGCGCGCGGCTAAAGGTCGACGCTGATTGGACAGACTTAAACAATAATAACTCCTTTATTAAACATTATAAAAAAAATGGTTCAGGACTTTTCGATTCAGTTTGACCCAATCTACCTCCACTTTTCGTTTGTTCACTTACTTGTCAGATACCCTGTATAAACGACTCGGAACGACTGGGTCGCTTAATGTATTAGTAATGTAAAAGCACATATTAAACAATGTAAACGCACGTTAAGAGGAAAATTGTAACCACGATTGGCAAATATATACATATATTCTCTAAAGAAAACCACTAGTTTCTTTATAGCGGGTGGATCCTAATACTTTGGACATCGTCGATTCCGATTCCTTGGTGCCGCGCATGGCGCAAGATTTTGGAAGTAGTATAGAATTCGCACGCGAGCGTGTGTGCACGTGTGTGAACATCAAGAGAAAAGAAGAATCTTACCAATAAAAAGAATGTTAGTGGAATAAGCCAGAAAAACAATGGAACCGAATGCGCAACTTGAAGCGGAAAGAGAAACAACAAAAAAATTTCGAAGACGTTATAGCCATCTTATACCATATACCCAATTAGAGATATACACAAAGAAATAAACGATTGGCATAATCAATGGAAAAGATTTCGTCCGGAACAACGCCAAAAAAAAAAAAATCAAAAGACGATGATAAAAATCAGACAGATATGCTATCGGTTATTTGCGATTGAAAGAAGCCTACAACATAGTGCCTAAATTCGACGAGATTTTATAAAAATTGTCAAAATTTCTAAGCATAAATACGTATACGATGAGAATTATAGTTCATTAGAGGAAAATATATTATTAGAAGTCATTTTATGCCTTAAAGTAAAAGACAAGGCAAATATCGATTTTAAAACCTGAGAAATCCAAAAGATTTTGAATAGTTAAAGAAAACACTAGAAGCCTACTATTTAAATAGAAGAAGCACGGCACATACACATACATATTTACAACCAGAATTCAATTCACAAAGCAGCCGAAAAAAAGCTGGCGAAACACGCAATGTAAATTAAAAATTGTTATAGAATTATACGAATTAATGATAGGACAAAAAAGTGACAAATAATAAGCAAATTATACTCGAAATGATACAGCAGCAAACCCTACAAAATTTCCAAATAGAATTACGTAACGAGATAAAACTACTAGAATTCGATCGCAGCATTATATAACGCTGCAAGAAGCAATAGTTGGAATCAGCATGAAAAAAAGTTTAAGAGACCAATCAGAGAAATATATGTATCTCCCACAATTTAAAGAAAACTACATATATATAGAATGTCTGTCCATAAATATCCGAGCAAATACCTCATAACTAATTGAAGTTACAAGAAAGTTTAATAAGAGAAATTAACACAGTTTTTAGTCCACAATAAAGCGCATATAAAAAAATTTTTTTACTCGTAACCTTTTCAAGTTATGAAAGTTACCATCATTTCTTTAAACGGAACCTCTTATTTTTTATTGCATATTTTTATAGCTCTTCTTGAGACCTCTTCAAAATACTATAATAAAGTATTTTTTTATTGAATATTCTTCGAACTATTTTACATTTTAATCTGACATATTTTGATATAAAAAATAAAATATCTCGTAAAATATTTAGTTTTCGATAATGTTACCATAATACTTTTATGTATTACAGAATAATGAGACAAATCAATTAGTGTAAAAAAAAAAACAAATAATTGTTTTAAAAAATACATTGTAAATAATTACATACTTTTTCTTAAAAACAATTATTTTTTTTTACACACATATTTTGATATAAAAAATAAAATATCTCGTAAAATATTTAGTTTTCGATAATCTTACCGTAACACTTTTATGTACAGAATAATAAGACAAATCAATTAGTTAAAAAAAAAACGAATAATTGTTTAAAAAAATACATTATAAATAATTATATACTTTTTCTTAAAAACATATACTAATTGATTTGTCTCATTATTCTGTACAAAAGTATTACGGTAAGATTATCAAAAACTAAATATTTTACAAGATATTTTATTTTTTATATCAAAATATGTGTCAGATTAAAATATAAAATAACTCAAAAAGTACTTAATGAAAAAATACTTTATTATAGTGTTTTGAAAAGTTCTCGAGATAAGCTACAAGAATATGCAATGAAAAATAGGAGGTTCCATTTAAGAAATTTATGATGATCTTCACGTGATCTTGACAACGCTATTCAAAGTCGTACTAATATTAATATGTAATGCGTTACTTGAAACCCTACAACTTTTGTCTAAAATATTTTTGTTTGCCGTTCTCGGTTTTCGAGATATTCGGCTGGCACGGGTGGTCTGATACACCCTGTATATTATAAGAAATAATTCTAAAGCGAAAAAAAACATTTTATAAGATTTTTCTTTATGAAAACATCATATTTTTATTTTCTTTTTTTCAATAGAGGAAGAATATCGAGATCTGACTATTGTAGTTCGCACAATGATTCTAAAATAAAATTGAAACATCAAAAGTAACACATATAATTCAAGTAGCAACCTGATGACACATTGTGAAGTGTAGATTCATATCACAGAAAGATTCTTAGTTATCTAACAATATGATTTTATACTTAACATAATAATGAGTACCAATTGCCACATTTGTAATCGGTAACGAATAATACCTCTCCCATTTAATTAAAGTAATAAATAAGACTCAGAATGACTTGGTGATAGTCACTTCCTGTATTAGTAACGAGCGTTATAAGCGTATAAGAGCATGTATTAACTAGTGTAACACACTAGATTTTTAATCTCATTTCTTTTATATTTAAATTACGTTTTTTTTTGTTTTTTTTTTAATATCTCACACTTTATTCCTTTTGAAATGTAAAAATTTGAGAAGTAATAATAATAAATTCATCTCCACACAACTAAATACTTTTATCATTTTTTAAAATAAAAACAAATATTATTTTTTCGAATAATTACTAAATTTAATAATTATTTTTAAATAGTATAATTGATAAAGTTCTCAAACTTTTTCCAAAACATTAAAAAATTATTAAGAATTAAATAATTTAATTCTTTAATTTTTTAAATAAAAACTTGTTTTATCAATTACTCTATTTTAAAATAATTAAATTGAACATTAATTTAAAAAGTTTTAAAAAATAGAAAAAAGTATTTATATGAAAATTGATTATCATTATTTTCTGAATTCTTATATCTTTTGAAAAAAATAAAATTGTGTTATGTTAATAAAAAATGATGGAATTTAAGTTATTTTAAATTGTGAATAAAATATTCTTCTCGTACTATATTTAAATTATTAAAATGTAAATATATATATATTTAGATGTATTCACAGATAATGGCTTTTGCATGCATATTTGCAACTAGATATAATGGCTGTATTTCAAAATTCACTGTCAGTACTGAATCTACAGTCCACGTAATGTATATTATAGATTTCCAGTACTGGCAGTGAATATTAGAACACAGCCAATATATCACAAGTACTTCATATGTAAATATATTTTACATAAACTAATGTATTTACATCTAAATATAATATTGTATATGTTTAATATTGCTAAAATCTCACATATACTCAGTGCAGCAATTAGTCGCACACCATAGTCTGGAGTGGCACAATTAGGAAAAAATGGTTGTAAGACATATTGAGCAAAAGTCAATCCCATGATAGCATTTGTTGTAGGTCTGTAAATGACAAGTATATTTCTGCAATATTTTTTTCCAACTAACAAGATTTGATTAAATAAAGATTTACTTACACAAAAATTAAATTAGCAGCCCATAAGTACAAAAATGAAGGTAGCGCACCAAATGCTTCATGAATATAGGCATAATCTCCTCCACTGCGAGGTACGCTAGTACCTAATTCTGCGTAGCACAAGGCACCAACCATAGAGAGCAGACCACATAATACCCATATGATTAGAGACACTCCTACACTGCCCACCTCTTGTATCACTCCTTTTGGTGAAATAAAAATGCCTACAAATATATGTAGTTTAGTAAAAACATTTAATATATACATATAGAAGCACAAAGTATGTCAAAATACATTGATTTAGAAACTGAATTTCTTGTTTATAGAAAATTTATAGTTTTAATATACCTGAGCCAAATATAATTCCTAATATAATGGCTATCCCTTCTAAGAGGCCTAACTGCTTTTTCATCTGTATCTTGTTCACAAGTTTTTGCCCTTTACCAAATGGCGATCGAATAGATCCCTCATCATCAGAGCTTATTAATTGCATTTCTCTGAGTGTTTCATCAAATACTTCATTCACCATTTTTATAAAGCAGTGCCTTAGAAGATATTCTATTTACTTCTCGACAATAAAATAATTTAAGATTTTCTAATTAATTCTATTAAATATATCAGCGAGTATATGCCATCATAGAAAATAATATATGGAAGTATAATAGACATATAATTTAGACAGTATGTCTTACTCACACATATTACTTAAAAATATAATAAAAACTATTCTGCAACCTTTGAAAAACAATATGATAAATGAGAATTTAGGATACTCTATTTAGATTTTGATAATCACATACTCATCCGGTCCTTTTTTTTGCGCAAAAAAAAGATTTGAAAAAAATAATTGCTCCACAGTGTAAAATAACCTAACCACAGACTTCTAAAAGTTTCTATATTCTATGATCTAGTTTACACCAATATACTTTTATCCATAGACATAGAAAATATAGAGACCGAGCATAAACTCGTGGTTTAGGCGAGGGGAGTGAAGCCACTGCGGGACGGTGCGACTAGAGTCCTAGATTATCAGAGAGGCGCCAACTCTACCCCACCCTTAGAACATATATAAATGGAAGGGGAATAGCAGGCTGAAAAGTGTCGGAAGGAAGTGAGAAAGAAAATGTAGTTGCCTCTCTCTTGGGAGTAACTACACATACAAGCATCGTGTCTGTAGTATACATACCTTTGTGTACACACACATGGCCGTGCATGCGCACTTTTGAGCAGAGTTACTCACAAGAGAGAGGCAACTACGATTTCTTTCTCACTTCCTTCCGACACTTTTCAGCCTGCTATTCCCCTTTCATTTATATATGTTCTAAGGGTGGGGTAGAGTTGGCGCCTCTCTGATAATCTAGGACTCTAGTCGCACCGTCCCGCAGTG